ACATGGAAACATAAAATATCATCTCTGTCATATTTCGCACATATGCATTCAAACCTATTCTGCTCATAGGACAAAAGATTTTTTTCACGAATACGGGCACCCACATATGCCTTGAGTCATACATAGATTTGAGATGTTTGTTTCCAGCCAACTGTGTTTCTCCAATATTTCTGACCATCCCGTTTCAAATTCTTCTTCGGTGAATGAATCATAGATTAGGGCTTTTAACTTAATGGCTAAACCATCTCTTGTCCTTATAAGTGTTCCTAGGTGTTCTCGAGAATTCCTCATGATGTGCTAAAAGCAGTTCCTATGCACAGTGCCTGGAATCAATTCTTGAATTGCTTTCCTCATCGTAGCGTCTTGGTTTGTCATTATCACATTTGCTCTTTCCCTCCCATTACTTCAAAGAAAGTGCTCAACAACCATTTAAATGTTTTTGCCTTTTGATCTTCAAGCAACGCCCAGCCAAAGACTACAGTCTTACCATCTCACCAACCTAACATTTCAAAGCATTTTGTTGTTGGTGCAGATCATTCAAACAAAGGCTATATAACCAACAACCAAATTAATCAAGTGGAAGAATCAAATGAATCTCCAGAAGCTCAAGGCAGTACTGTGCAAAACATTGAAATTGAGGATATATTATTCCATCTCTTGACTAATAAAATAGTCATAAACCAAAGAAAGTAAATTGTCATATCCATAGAACATCTAAAGTGTTATGTTGTATAGTTTATTTTAGGTTATAATGTTGTGCATGTGATGTTCGGTTTCACATAAATGTTTGATGGTTCTCAGTGAATGATTTAACGTTCCTAGTCAAAATTTTCATGTTCCCAGTTAATGTTTTGATGTTCTATAGTTCATCATCATAACACAACTGGAACTACAATTATTTGACAAAAACATGATGTTTTAGTACAACACATGCTATATTTGTGATGTATATTTCCATGTTCCCTTTCAGTAAATGAGGTGTTCTATGTATTTTATCATCAAGAAACATGTCAGCATGCATTTCATTATCAATGATCCAAACTAAATAGCCTAGGCTTTTAAGTAAATTCCAAGGACATCTCCCAAAATTAAAGGATGCAAACGGCCCCTAATTTTTTTTTCATCTTCTCATTACAGTTTTAGATTAGTTCAAATTGGAACATCTTGGGTTCACCTGTACAAAATTTCTTTTTCAATGATGAATGGTGGTTGGTTACATTTTCATCTTATGCATTGTTTTTGCAAGATGTTATCATTGAATAAAAAATTGATGTCTCATATTGAATGCCACCTTTTCCTTCAGTTCTTTCACAATTCCATTATAGTAAGTATCATCTTTGAGAGAATGAATAAATGTCTAGTTATTATTCCTGTAACTAATTTTTATTTTTCTATATAGTCTATTGTAATGCAAGATACTATTGACTTTAACATGTACAAGAATACATTTCTTGAATCTGTTGGATTTAGTCTTCATCGTGCAAAACTTGTAAGTGGTATAAATTTGTGTTTAATTTTCTATATCCGTTCGATTTTACATTGATTTTTGTTAAATGTAGCTACATATCCCTTGCTTCATAAACAACCAATGATTTTTGGTTGTTGTGAACTTTCTCCATTAAGCTTTCTATGTTATGGACCCAAATAAAAACACAGATTCATCAACTAAACAACTCCAGAATATTATCAGAAATTTCAGGAGATTTTTTGAAGCCAACTTTCCTGACAATATCATCTACAACATTTATGAGTTATCAATACTATATTTGAAGATTGCAAAGTGCAAATTTAGGTGAACATGATATATGTATAATAAAAACAATTACATTTTGCAATTGTCCTATTGTGCTTACTTTCAACAAGTGCTTAGCGAATGAACTTGCAATGAGTAAGAAATAAATTTAGAGCAGTCAGTCCCTGTTCAATAGGTTGTAGTTACCGTCACAAAAGATAGATTGCTGAAGTTTGGAGAAACACATATTGAATGTACAAACAATTGTGATATTTTTTTGGAAATACGCAGTGTTAATAACATATATAAATAATAAGAGATGTAACTGGGCACAAACAGCCAATGCATCTGAAAATAGTCATACTGTCAACCAAACTTGTAGATATATTTAATGAGCAGCCATAGCTACTGTGCCTTGCTTGCAGTAACAAGAGTCATTGTGCAATTGTGCTTTACTTCCAACGAGTGTTTGACTGCATTTCTTCATGTGCAACATGACACATTAGTGTTCATTTCAACTGAATTTCAGTGTGCTATTTAGCTGCAGCATTTCAAAAGTGCAGTTGAACACTGCTTTGTTTTGTTTTGTTATTTTCACACAGTGCAGTTTCATTGAATTCAAATACCATATCCATCTAAACAGTATGCTGCCTATGTGTTGTATGCCATGTAATCACACTACTAGCTGTATGTATTTTGATCCTAAACAATATGTGTTGTATGTATTTTCTTATTTTTCTGGGTTTCTCAACCTGAATGAATTAAAAGTTATATGCCTTCGCTATTTATACTAACCTTCAGAAATTCTTTACATAATGTAGGTATTATTCAGGAATTTTCGTGTTGCAGTTTATGCAAATTTTTTATGGTACAACCTTAGAGAATTTCTCTAATGTAAGGAAAACATATCTTCTTATAATATTCTTCGGTTCAAGCTAAATATTAAATACATTTTTTATTGAATTTAATAATTTACTTTCTAACGAACTTAAAAATTCAAAAAAATTATTACAGGTTGATGTGTTGGCTCTACGTGCAAAATTCCTATTCCAAACAGTAACAGCTCAACACAACAAGGTGAATTTAGAATTTATGAGAAAATTCTATGCTGATAATGTAAGTATAAGTCATTATGAAATGTAACTTCGTTACTGTTTTGATATATGTGTCTTATTGCTAATATAACCATTACTATTTCCGAAATGATAAGAATTTATTTTCTTCTCCTGCAGGCACAGTACTTCTCTGATGCTATGATATAAAGTTTGAAGATAGTCTTCCCGAAAAAATATGTAATGCTCATATTACTTTAGCAACATTAATACATTATATCTGTATTCAAAGTTCACAAATGAAGAAACGTTGCAGTTTTCCTTCATTTTTATATGATATTTGTGTATATAAAATCTGGGACATTTGTAATTTACTTTAGAACATCTATATTCGGTATCACAGCAAAATATAACATTTTTTGTTTGTGCAGATTTTATTTGCTGTAACGATTTAACTACTTCGCGCGTGCCAAAACAGTCTGTCCACGACAACGCGCCAAAACGCAAAAGGAAACTTGCACGCTAGGAATATTAAAAGAAACAGTTCGAAACAATCCATAAATGTCCAACAAGACAATTGAATTCGGTCCAATTTCTCGAAGCATGTGGACGACTAGCGGCGGCAAAGCAAGAGCAGAAGCATCGCAGGCCTGAGATGAGACAATGCAGCCGAATCTTATCTGGCCGAAGCCGAAGTCACCGTCGGCCCAGCTGCCTTTAAGGCCCAGCTTTATTTCCATACGCAAAATCTCAGGTCTATATTTCCGTCATATAATGCTGTTGAGCACAGCCCATTAAGAGATGGCTTCCCTCTACGTGGCCAATCAAAGGCCCAACAGCCTCCCACCGCAGCCACGCAAGTCCAACTAACCAACTCGTCCGTGATCGTCAAGAGCCGCGTGGCCCGGTGCTCGCAGAGGCGCCACCGCGTCCTGGCCGGCTGAAAATATATTCCATGCTGAATTTTGATATCGATTTACGATTAATATTGATATTTTTGGATTCATAAATGTGAATATCATTCGCTAAAAGTTTGGTTAAACATGAACCACTTTAACTAGCACGCAACTCATAATTATATTCTTTGCTAGGCAGATGGAGTATATCTATTTGTAAATAGAAATGTTGACACTATTTTTTTTTAAATCTCGTTAAGCTTAGAATTATTTTTATGGAGTGAGTATTCTTCTAAGAAACAAAGGAGACTACACAAGTTTTGTGAATGTACAAGGTAGGGTACGTTTGAATCCACTAGTGTTAATGGGTAGCCGCCAAAATAAACAGGTAGAGATCCAAAAGGTATGCTAATAGACTTGCTAACTATTATCAAGTCAAAGTGCTGACAATTAGCTCATTAGTTGATACATGGATGCTAATAAATGCTATATATGATTTTAACCAACTATTTAACCACCTATTAGCTGGTGGATCCAAACAACCATGCTAGCTGGCCTGTTTGGAATGCGGGATTTTTTCTCAATTCCTGTGTTTTTCCTGTGAAATTGAACCGATTCCTGTAAAATTCCTGTGTGATTTCTGTAAAATTCCTGCATTCCAAATAGACCCTAATAGTTGATAGTTTTTAGCTATTATTAGTTAGCAAACTATTAGACCAAGTGAATCCAAACAGGATCCTAATCACAGCTGGGGTTAGCAATAAAACTATTCCTGATCAGGCAACGCAAATCATGAAAACAAACAGACAAAAAATCGCCAAGTGCACGCCGGTACGAGCGGAGCAGTAATCGTCGAGGGAAGGACGACGACGACCTGAACCTCACCGCAGCTGCTCTGCTCACAGGCTCACAGCTCACCTCCGGCCACTTTTAATGTGCTCTCTCTCACTCTCAAGGTAGTACAACCTACTCCAACAAATCATCTGCCTTTTTCCTCACGCTTTGCTTTGCTTCTTCTCCCTCCCGTCATCTCTCCCGGTGGCCCGCTCTCCGCATCGTGTGCGTTGAGCTATGCCTGTCGCCGGGTCAACCGCGCTACCATTTCAACCCCACCCCGCTGCCTTGTTGGCCTGTTCAACCACGCCACGACAGCAACAACCAGCTAGTGCGTGCTGCCGCACACCTCCTCCATTTGCCTAGTATACTCTAGTATCGCCGCCGTATATATTTCTTTCTCACGATCTCACCTCGAGCGAGAAGCATCCGGGTGGAGTCAGGAAGGAGGCTCGACGACCGAGGTGGGGGAGGGAGAGGGAGGCCATGAAGTCCAACCGGAACCTGTCGAGGGCGGAGGGGAGGAGGCTGGGGAATGTGGCTCTCATAGCCTTCATGCTCGGATCCCTCCTCCTGCTCTCCCTCGTCCGGGCCAAGTTCTCCCCGATCGGTACGCTGATTGCCATGGCGTTTTGCCGCCGGCTTCTTCTTGTGTTCTTGATTGATTCGGTTATCTGAGCTGAGCTGGGCTGTGTGGGTTGGGATGCGCAGGTAAAACAGGGGACGCCATCAAAGCAGAGGAGCAGCAGGCAATGGCGAAAGACAGCGGCGAGATGGCCACCGCCCATGAGGCTGCAGCCGCTGGTAATTCCGACTAGTTCCTCTCGCGTTTGCGTTTCTATCTGAATGTACGCAGCCGCGTGATTCAGTCCAAGATTGCTGCAAATCCTTTCCCATTCGTGCTGTACAGTTTGTGGTCAAGTTTTCTTGGCAGTTCTTCTTGAAATCTGGGACAGAAGAACGCATACACGTCCAGGGAATTAGTACACGGTAGCAAGCAGATCCGGTGAATTTGAGCTGATTTTTGCTCTGTCTGTCGCAGAGGAGGAGGAAGACGAGACCCGGTCCAAGCCCACCGATTCCAGTTCAGGCAGTGGCGGCATAGGCAGCACGGCCATTGTGGCCGGCGACGACCACGCCGAGCGGGCGAGCAAGCTGGTGTGCTACGAGTCGAGCCGGCGGTCGGACACCTGCGAGGCGGCCGGCGACGTGCGCGTGGTGGGGCGCGCCCAGACGGTGCTGGTGAGCCCGCTGGATCGGGAGTGGAAGGTGAAGCCCTACTGCCGGAAGAACGACGCGTTCGCGCTGTCCCACGTCAAGGAGTGGACGCTCCGGCCGGCGGGAAGCGAAGACGCGCCGCGGTGCACGGTGAACAGCTCGGCCACGGCGTTCGTGCTGTCGACGGGCGGGTTCACGGGCAACCTGTTCCACGACTACACGGACGTGCTGATCCCGGCGTTCATCACTGCGCGGCGGTACGGCGGCGACGTGCAGCTGCTGGTGAGCAGCTACAAGCCGTGGTGGACCACCAAGTACCTGCAGGTGCTGCAGCAGCTGAGCCGGCACGAGGTGGTGGACTCGGACGCCGACGCCGAGGTCCGGTGCTACCCGCGCGTCGTGGTGGGGCCGACGTTCCACCGGGAGCTAGGCGTGGACGCGTCCTTGTCGCCGTCGTCCGGCGGAGTGTCCATGCCGGAGTTCCGCGCGATGCTGCGGGACGCGTTCGGGCTAGAGCGCGCGGCGGCGGCGCCGAGCGGGGACCGGTGGGACATCCGCCGTCGCCCGCGCCTCCTCATCATCTCGCGGAGAACCTCGCGGCTGCTGCTGAACGAGCGCGCCATGGCGGACATGGCGACGAGCCTGGGGTTCGACGTGCGGACGGGGGACCCGGAGGTGAGCACGGACGTGGCGCGGTTCGCGCGGCTGGTGAACTCGGCGGACGTGATGGTGGGCGTGCACGGCGACGGGCTCACCAACATGGTGTTCCTCCCCGCGGGGGCCGTGCTGGTGCAGGTGGTTCCGTACGGCGGGCTGGAGTGGCTGGCGCGCGGCACGTTCCGGGAGCCCGCGGAAGGGATGGAGGTGCACTACCTCGAGTACGTGGTGCAGAAGGACGAGACGACGCTGAGCGAGGAGTACGGCGAGGATGATCCGGTGATCAGGGACCCCGCCGCCATCCATAGGCAGGGGTGGGACACGCTCAAGGCCGTGTACCTGGACAAGCAGAACGTCAGGCCTCACCTCGGCAGGCTCAAGAACACCTTCGTCGAAGCGCTCAAGCTGCTGCCCCATGGACGGCAGACCACCGCGATAGATTGATCTCCACCTATTGGCCCAACGGTTAATTGGGCTATTGATTCGCGTTTTGATCGGGGACGTCCAGCCGTTCTTCTGGTTGATGGCCTCCGTCGCGCAGCGCTATAAGAGGAAGATGGAGGCCGGGGCGCAAGGTACGAGGTTCACCGTAGCTGTCAGCGTCCACCGAGGTTCCTAGCCCTAGTCCCATATATAAGGACGCGCCGCCTTCACCCTCGTTCATGTTGAGTACCTCAAATTTAACCACATTCATGTTGTTTACCTCAAATTGAACTACATTCGGCTCGAAATGGATGGGTTTAATTATACTCTAGGTAGGTAGATTAGACAGATGGTTAGGTTCGTTTTAATGATGCTGATGGTAGATCATCATCAAGTGGTAATTAATCTTTTCTTTTTGTCATCTTCTTGTGCTCCTTTCCTTTGCCCTTGCCCTGTAAACACGACACAATGCAAGGTTGAGTTGGTTGCGACTTTTTGTATAGACGGTGGAAGCACATTGAAAGAGGCGCATTCGGGTCCTGTTTGGATGGAGGTGTTAGAAAGCCGCTTGGTTTGTTTAGACTAGGCAGCCGTTCGATTTTGGACGTCTGAAGTAAGGATGGATTGCGATAGAGGTCTGACATCGAAAGAGACCCTTGTTTTGGGCGCTCTATTTTGTTTGGCCTCTTGGGATGCTGGTGTTGTGTTAGGGAGTTCAACCAGCACAAAATGTAGTGGAATCTGGTGATAATAAGAATGCTGCGGCCAGATTCCGTGGGAGCTTTGTGCAAGAACAACGCACAGTGCGAGATTCTGTCAATTGTTCGTCATGATAGTTTTTTTTGTTAACAGAAGCTCGATCGTGGATATTAAATTATTACTCCATCGGCTGACGAGGTCCGTGCTGTGTAACTGTGTTGCTACTACTATTGTTCAGCGCGTGCATGACAGCATCAGCCATTAGCGTTAGTATTAGTTAACCAGGAAAGAGACTCGATGGATCCGGTGGCCTGGTCAAACAGAGAGAGTTTTGACGAGATCAATTAAAGGCACGATGACGACGAACTCCAGTAGAGTAGTGATTAATTGGCTTCACGTGTTCATCTCGGGAAGCACGCAAACCATATGTAAGCACAGATAACTAACTAATCTGCCGACGACCAGTTCGCTCTACTGCTGAAGAGAAGAGCACTTGGTCGTCTTCTTCTCCAAGGCCGAGTGATCTCCAAATTCTCATCTCACGGTGTGTCAGCGGCGTTCGATCCATCCATGCATCCACCGTCTCTGTACGTACAGTACTTGCGTGGGCGTGGTGGTCATCATCGATCCTTCGTCACTGAGAAACAAGTCAAGACTGCGGACGTGAGCTGCGGTCGGTCGGTCGGTGGTGACGAAAACCTGCACTTCTTCCTCCAACCGTCTCCAACGTTCTGTCTAGATTGTTGTAAAAAAAAAAGAGTTCTGTCTAGACGTACACCAACGCAAATAACTTGGACGGCTTGCTTCTCATAACTAAGAGGGTGTTTGGCATGGCTCGTTTTGGAGGAGCCAGGCCAAACGGCTTCGGCTTCTCTGTTTTTTATTGAAAAACAGTTCCTCCAAAAAAATGTTTGGCAGGCTTCTCTGGAGAAACCGGAGCCAGAGAGGAGCCCTGTGAAACAGGCCCTAAAAAATCACTTCTAAGTTTAGAATGTCAAATACAAAGGCTAAACATAGACTAATCATCATTGACAAGCCTAATCAATGGTTAGAACCTATTAAAAATATTAGTCTACATTTAGTTCATTGCATCACACGGTGGACAATGCATGATTAGATAGACTGTCGCTATTTTTAGCTACTTGTTTACCTAACCTAAGTGATTGCTGGTTTCGCTCTTGGTGTACAAGTCTGATGACCATTCTCTAGCTCATCAAGCTGAGGTGAATGCCCAATGCCGGCACTACACACAGCATATTCAATTGTACTCACCCTAGCTAGCCACGCTTTTTAGTGCTCGGTTTAAAAAGCACTCAACTCTGTTGTTGTAAATGGGAAGCCTGCCCGCCTTTTTGTACGGTCCTGTTAATCTTAATGCATTCTGTTACAATTACAACGATCTGTCCATCCAGCCGGCGTCATCGTAGTTGTCTCGCACTCGAACTGATAAACAAAACAAACAAACTCGGCAGTCTGGCTGCCGCCGGCGGCGTGGCGGCGACGAAACGCGGTTGTGCCCGCTGTACAAGTAATAAAAAGAAAATATTCAGCAGATTCCGTGGGTGCCACTGTTGAGTGTGCAGGAAGCAGAATAGCATCAAGCCTTCGCTCGATCGTGTTTAGCTTATAAGTTATGACTCATCAGTCAACGAACAATATTTTTCTCTTACACTAAATTAGTCAACAATAATTTCAGTCATGGCTTATAAGTCAAATAAGCTCAGGACGATAGTTAATGCAGACAAAGAGGAGTAGAATAGCTTTGAAACAGAGCCATCGCCAAAAATAAAACACGTGAATGGCATAGCTGATGCTTTGTTAATTAATTGTTCAATCGTGTGTATAGTTTAACAGGAGCTGGATGGATCGTGGACATTGCTTGCACCGATCGGCTGACAAGGTCCACGTTGATATATATATATTCGGTAGCTGGCCATAGAATAACTTATTCTATAGCCACATTGATTTACGATAATATTTGTACTAATTTACAATAACATGAATATATATTTACGATACTCGTGTTACTACAACTCACGGTGATATTTACGAGGATGTTATAGTAAATCACTTAGTAAGGAATTACTGTAATATCGTAAATTAGTATGATAATTATCGTAACTCAAAGTGGCCACATAATAAGTTATTCTATGGACAGCCGCAGAACAGTAGTTATATATATATATATATATACACGACGAGGCTAAAATGCAACAAGGTGCAATTAATATAGCAATTGCACAGACCACAAAAACACCTTCCGCCCCCGCGCCCGACAAAAACAGGCCACGCCCATTCTAGGTGGTCCCGCATCCACCACAGCGTGGGCCAAGCTCACCGCCAAAGACGTGGGCCGCTTTCGCCTCCCATAAAAAAATGGGTCATACAAGATCCGATTCGTCCGAATCGAGCGCCAATTGCAACGCCGTGTGTCTTGTGATTGCAACCTTGATTCTGCTCGTTGCAACATATATGCGCAGTGCACGGATGTCTTGAACGGCAAGTAAGAAATACAATGTAAAGCGAAAAAGGATCGCTGAGGAGGAAAAACGCATCATCCCACCCCACGCCCCCCTCTCTCGCAGTAGAGGCGCCACCGCCGGTGGCGGAGCGCCTTGAGGGGGAGAGCGCTTCTCGCCCTGCGCCGCCGCGCTCCTCGCCCTGCACCGCCGTGCGAGCCACCTCCCCGCGTCCCGCCTCCAGCATCGAGATGGGGCCAACGCCGCCGTCGCTCGTCGAGGCTGGGCCGCTCGCCCTGCGTGATCCACCGACGGCATCGGAGAGGGTCGCTGCGTTGATTCGAGCACATCGGAGGGAGCCTCCACCGTCGTCGACACCCATGCTTCCCCCGATAACAGCAATTACAAGTGATCCCCTCCACCATACGACGACACTCACGCCGCCGACGACATTGGCTCCAAGGGACATGGTGACTCCAGATGCCAACCAGCTGTTCTACCCGGTAAAAAAAAGCACTTGACCTCCCTTATGTTGTGCCTGTGAGTTGAATGCTTGAATCACCTGTGATTTGTGTGTTTGGGTGCAACTAATTGCGACACGGCTTTCGTAGTAATTGCGACACGCCTTTGGGATTAAACTCTGAATAACCTGTCACCGACTTTTCCCATGGATCTCGAATAAAATGCAACTAATTGCAACAGAGATTTGATAGTAATTGCAACAGAGATGTGGTAGTAATTGCTACACATGCCTTTGAGTTTTAAACTGAATCACCTGTGTTTGGCTTTTCCATGGATCTGATAAAAAGAAAATGCAACCTGATTGCAACTAGGATGTGGTATAAATTGCAACAGAGACATGGTAGTAATTGCAACAAAAAATTTCCAAAGTGAGTTTGCATCATTTTATTTTGAAAAAAATATCACACATGTTTTGTATGTTTTCTTTTTGTCAGAATCAACTATACCAAATTGTGTTAGTGCCAAGAGTGAGGCAGCAATTCTCTACAAAAATGATGCTTACATATTTTACAAAGATTATGCAAAGTGGGTGGGTTCAGTTTGAGGACAGCGAGAACAAGCAAGGAGACGAATCATTGGGTCTGCAAATAGGAAGGGAAACATGAGAGCAAAAATAAAGAAGAAGAAGAAGCAAAAACAAAAAAGGGATCGAGAAGATCACGGCTGCCCGGCTTATGTGAAAGTTAAGAAGGATGGGAAGCACAATTTACAGTTCTTTGACCATGTGCGTGAAGCCCACAACCACAAACTTGAGCCGCCTCCTCAGATGACAAGATACATGCACGCGCACAAGAACATGGCGAAGGCATGAGTGACTTATTTAACATAATGACAAGGAACGGAGTTCCACATCAGACATCATTGAATGTGATGGCGGATCTGTATGATGGTCGCCATATGTGGGGTTTTACAGAGAAGGACATAAAGAATATGTACGTGCTGAATTTTTTTTTCACTGAATTGCAACATGTCGCATATCTGAATTGCAAGATGTCACATATCTGAATTGCAAAAAAACATGTGACTGAACTTTTTCTAACAAAAACTGCCCTATATTTTTTAAATGTTCACAGGAAGGCGGCGAAGGCTAGGGAGGAAAGAGAAGATGATCTTAACAAGCTGCTGCAGTTCTTCAGAGAATGCAAGGAGAACAATGAATATTTCTACTGGGATGTGGATGCAGATCCAAAGACTGGAGTGATCAAAAACATATTCTGGAGTCATGCAAGCTAGAGAGCTGAATACAAAGATTTTGGAGACGCCATCACCTTTGATACGACACATAAAACCAACAGCAAGAAGATGCCGCTGGCGATGTTTGTTGGAGCCAACAATAACCTCAAGAACGTGACCTTCGGACAAGCTCTGATTGGTGATGAATCGATTAGATCATTCAAATGGTTGTTTGAGACGTTCAAGAGTTGCATGGGTGGACAGGAACCTCATGTTATCCTGACGGGGAGCCTTATCTTCTTTTCTAAAAACACTGATTGCAACCTTAAAAATTGTATAGTTGCTGCAGCAAAATGCCGCTGTGTGTGTGGCTGATCCTGTTTCCCCCTGTTTTCTGTCTTTTATCAGACAAAGATCCAGCAATGAAAGTTGCAATTGAGTTGGTGTTTTTCAAGTCTCAACACAGAAACTGTCGCTGGCACATAATAAGGCCTTGGGAGTTTGAGTTGGACCAGCCATACACCGAGCACAAGGATAAAAACTTGAAGGAAAGGCTTGAATCGTTGATAAACTATCCATTGGGCCCGACACAATTTGAGGTTGAATGGGAGAAGCTAGTTGATGAGTGTGGCATTGCTGATCATCCTGCCATTAGAGCCCTGTGGGATAAGAGGGAGAGGTGGATAGCTGCTTATTTCAAGGGGATGTATTGTGGTAGGATGACATCGACGCAACGATCGGAGAGCCAGAACAGGGTGCTCAAAGATGGCTATGTTAGTGAGAGCACTAGCCTACACATGTTCGCTAGAAGGATGCTAGACTCACTCCAGCACGCTGACCACATGGATGCAGGAGAGACACATTATGCACAGGTAAAAGAAAAACAAAAAAAATCACATGGCATTTGCAATGATTACTGTTCCCAGTTACAACACAGTCCATATTCTAATTGCAAAAAAGACAAACATACTAAAAAAATA